CGGTTGTTGACGAAGATGGAAGAGCAACCGTGTACTGGCGTTAGGTTTGATTTAATGACAGTCTTTGTTTCACAGGAGTGTCACAAGTTTCTGTGTCACAACTGTTAACTTGGACTCAAGTTTCAACAATGTGCGCAGAATTTAATGGCGCAGTCCAATTTTTTTAAAACTCAACGGTTCACTTTTAATACTCAAATTACACTCATTTTTCTACTTAAACTTTTAGAGCCTAATTTTCATTCTTTTTTGACATTTCAAATTTATTTCCCACACTTTAAGACATGTTCAAAATGATGGTAACAATCATTTTGCATAAAAGCAAAATATTGGCAATGAATACTGCATTGGACAGGTTTTTTTTAATGTTTTTTCAATTAATTTTTACTGGCTTAATTTCAATCATTTTTTTAAATTTTAAATTTATTTCCTACATTTAAAGATGTGTAGAATTGAATGGTGAAGTCCAATTTCCATAAATATACAAGCTTCAATCTTAATACATGAGTGTACCCCGTTTCTTGCATAATTTGTACCGTATACAAATTTTATTTGAATGCAAAATGGATACAGCCAGCAATTTTGAAACCTTTCAAAGTGTAGGAAATGAACTTAAAATTCCATAAAATAAGGGCCTTAATAAAAAAACCCGCATTTTCCGCGTTGTGGTAATTCAATATGTAAAAAATTCAAAGTTTTTTCTTTATACACATTTTTCTCATACATTCATTCAGAAATCAACCAATAAAACTTCAGAAATGGACTCTACGGATAAATTCAGCCTGGGTCACCACTGGACGCATCATTGGAACACTCACAGATTGGAAGTTACACCTCTACGGACACATATCACAAAGCCAATACCCAGTCAAGCACATGTCACAACCCTCAACTCACCTCTCAGTTATGCTTATACACAGCTCACGGTATACACATAATTTCCCACACCTCTTTATCTCCACCGCATAAATTAGTTTGGTTTTATTTGTCACCTCATGCACTGCCTTTGCAGGCTGCGTAGTCTTGATTGAATTACTTTTCCCACAGTTTATCAATTTTCTCACCTTGTTTATGACAACAGCTGGATTTTTCCCACAATTTATTGCCTCATTTGACACTTTCTCACATTATTTATGCACTGCAGCACAGCCTTTGACATTAATTGTACACAGCCTCACTGGTTAATTTCCCTCACTTGCATGATCAGACTAGCTGTATTCACTCATTTGTACCTACAGGCCAGCTAAAATCACTCTTTCTTGTCTGCCCTGAAGCTAAATTCCCTCACTTTTGTCTATAAAAGGAGGCTCTCTTCCCCCCATTTGTTGTCTCCTCATTCCATTCCACTCATTCCAGTTCATAGTTCACTACTCATTCACTCAGTTCATCACTCAGCAAGTCAATACATATATAACTCACCAGTTACAAACAATTATATAAACCTTTCACCTGTTACATAACATAACAGTTTTATTTTATCAGCAATTACATATTCAACCTTTACTTTTCATAAAACAAAGTTCATACCGGAACCGACCAATCCTATCACGTTATTAAAACTTTCCAAGCTAAGCTTGGGGGTCTTGTTTCTGACAGTATAGAAGGGCAGAGTTTGCACCTCCATCATCCCCTTCTCAATTCAGCAAAAGGGTTTCACAACCACTTTTGAGTCTTACAGCGTTTTGACGCGGTTTCTGCTGCGCGCAGCACACACGCATTCCGCGTTTAAACCCACTTTTTTAATTAATTTTTTACCGCTTATTTTTTGAGTTTTTTTGAATTTTTAAAATTGTTTCCTATGTTTTAAAGCGTGTAGAATTTAATGGTAAAAACCATTTTCAATAAAAATGAATTTTGATTATTAATTATTTTTTTCACTCATTTCTCAATTAATTGTTTGCATACATGTACACCCCGGGTGCAGATTGCTGTCATTGTGACGGGGTTTTTTTGCCGTCCCAAGACAGAACACTCCCTGCAAGCCCCCACGGCCTACACACGGGCTCCGTAGAAGGTCTGAATGACGGCTGCCAGGAGACGTCTGCAAAAGGACATCTCATGCCCGTCAAACATGCTTGCACACCGACGTTATTAGCAGCCATTGCCCAACCAGTACTATCCTGGTATGGCAACGTGCTTCGGCAAGAAGGCCGTCATCCAGAAGATAAGCAGACGCATATTGCTCAGCTCACGCGCGTGCCATTCACATCATCCAACCGGCTGCCCATCGTGCCAAGTGGGCGGCTGCCGAGGAATTTCAGCTACTGCCAGGCTAGCGGTCAGATGCGACATTATATCCAGGCCAGAGACAATTGTCATGAACACGCATTTGGTGCAGCCAACAGCATGTTCACCAAACTTGACACTCTTTCAGGGGGGGCACAATTTGTGAACAACTGAAAAAAGTAAGTACATGGTTGCTATTGAGATTGGGGAGGGCACTTAGTGTCAGCCCATTGAAGCAAAGGAAAGGATTTCAATATATACAAAGTGAACGAAAACAGTAGGCAAGATTAGTTGCCTCCTGGGCGACTCCAAACAGCTAAAAGAGAGACATCACATTGCTTGATGGTGTGGTGCATCCCACCAGGGATGGCTGCTCTTGCCCAAAGCCCGCGTGGGAAGCTGCTTTTTGATGGGGGCCATCTTTGTACTACACCTGCTCCTGATCATCCAAAATGGCACACCATTCCCACCGTTAGAGATTGGGTCAGAGGACCCGTCCAACCTGCAAGATTTGCCAGTGGGGCTACATGTGACATCAGTACAGAAAACAACATGGCTAAGCATAAACATTGAGTCCGATGACATGCTCAATTGAGTGCTGTTGTTATTGTTGGATTGACAATCACTTCCGATGAGCGGCACAGATGAAGACAGACAGTCCTGATCTAGCAAGTGAAGTTGGTTGGACCGGTTGGTGCGGGATGAATCCAAGGTTGGGTAGAGGAAAGGCTGTCAATGGTCAATGTGACACTGTCATTCTGGGAGTGTTGCAAGGTAGGTTAAGTGTCTGCTGGGGAAATAAAAGATAAAAAATCGAGAGCTATCGAGAGATGGGGAGATTGGAAAAGTGGAACAGAACGGTATCAAGTGGATGAACAGTGTGGGGGTCTACAGGCAGGTTTATATCCTAAACAGGATAATTCATGAATACGGCAACATGATCACCGCACCCTTGGGGAAGGCAGATCACCCACAGCTACCCACAGCCCTGTCTCTATCCAGTTGAATCGGTTGTAGGGGCAGTGCTGCTGTAGCACATGTAGAGTTGTATGTAGAACTCATCTGGTCTGTAAGCACCAGCCTCACGTGTGCGGACTGATGGCAGAGCTGACTCACATACGTGCTCACTGCTGTCGGACGGCGGGGGAAGGTGTGATTTTTGGGACGTCGTTAAGGGGGCCTGCCTGCCCACTTGCCACCGTGATCTCAATGGTGACAGCTGGAAGCTGTGTCCCTATGTGCATGCGGTCTTGAGGCCGTCTGTAGCCGGGTGCGGGCCGTCAGGCCGCATGGATACGGGTATTGGCCGTAGCTCTTTGGAGTTGAACGTCAACTGACCGGCCGTGGTTGTTTGACGTCGAACTCAAAATATTCTGCACCCGCGGTGTATGTACCTTATTTTTTATGTTTTTTTGAAATTTTAGATTTATTTCCTAGGTTTTAATGTGCGTAGAATTTAATGGTGCAATCCAATTTTTTTAAAACTCAACGGTTCATTCTGAATACTGTAATTAGTCATATTTTTCAATTGATTTTTAAGAGCTTAATTTTCATTCTTTTTTGACATTTTAAATTTTTTTCCTACACTTTCAGACATGTATAAATTTAGGGCCTTAATAAAAAAACGCGGGTTTTCCGCGTTTTGACGCGGTTTCTGCTGCGCGCAGCACACGCGGTTTCCGCGTTTAGACGCGGTTTTTTAATTAATTTCTTTTTGCCATTAATTTTAAGTTTTTTTGATTTTTTAAAATTGTTTCCTAGGTTTCCAAGCGTGTAGAATTTAATGGTGAATACCATTTTCCATAAAAATGAGTTTTAATTATTAATTTTTTTTTTCTACTCATTTTTTCCATTAATTGTATGCATACATGTTTTTACCTTATTTTTCATGTTTTTTTGAAATTTTAAATTTATTTCCTAGGTTTTAATGTGCGCAGAATTTAATGGCGCAGTCCAATTTTTTTAAAACTCAACGGTTCATTTTTAATACTGAAATTTGACATTTTTTTCACTTAAATTTCTACAGCTTAATTTTCATTATTTTTTGACATTTTAAATTTATTTCCCACACTTTAAGACATGATTAAAATGATGGTAGCAACCATTTTACATAAAAATCAGCCCTTGTTACTGAATACTGCGTTGGACATGTTTTTTTAATGCTTTTTTGATTGATTTTTACCAGCTTAATTTTGATCATTTTTTGGAATTTTAAATTTATTTCCTACATTTATTAATGTGTAGAAGTTAATGGTGAAGTCCAATTTCCCTCAAACTCAAAGATTCAGTTATAATACAAGAGTGTGCACCGTTTCTTGCATAATTTGTACCGTATACAAACTGTATTTGACTGAAAAATGAATACATCCATCAATTTTAAAACCTTTCAAATTGTAGGAAATGAGCTTAAAATTCCAAAAAAATGAGGATAATTAAGCGTGTAAGAATTAATTAAAAAAACACGTCAAATGCATTATTCAAGATACAGTTTTTATTTTGATGCAAATTGATTTTTTCCATCATTTTTAAAATGTCTGAAATTGTAGGAAACAAATTTAAAATGTCAAAAAATAATGAAAATTAAGCTCTTAAAAATCAATTGAAAAATATGACTAATTACAGTATTCAGAATGAACCGCTGAGGTTTATGGAAATTGAATGTTACCATTAAATTCTAAACACTTTTAAATGTAGGAAACAGCTTTAAAATTTCAAAAAATCATAAAAAATAAGGTAAAGAAATTAATGCAAACAATTGAGTGAAAAATTAAGGAATTAAATAAAAAAAATGGTGTCAAATGCAGCATTCAAGGTATAGTTTTCATTTTGGGGAAAAATGTTTGTTACCATAATTCTTTGCATGTCTCAAAGTGTAGGAAAAAATTTGAAATGTCAAAAAAGAATGAAAATTAGGCTCTAAAAATTTAAGTAGAAAAATGAGTGTAATTTGAGTATTAAAAGTGAACCATTGAGTTTTAAAAAAATTGGACTGCGCCATTAAATTCTGCGCACATTAAAACCTAGGAAATAAATTTAAAATTTCAAAAAAACATGAAAAATAAGGTAAAAACATGTATGCATACAATTAATGGAAAAAATGAGTAGAAAAAAAAATTAATAATTAAAACTCATTTTTATGGAAAATGGTATTCACCATTAAATTCTACACGCTTGGAAACCTAGGAAACAATTTTAAAAAATCAAAAAAACTTAAAATTAATGGCAAAAAGAAATTAATTAAAAAACCGCGTCTAAACGCGGAAACCGCGTGTGCTGCGCGCAGCAGAAACCGCGTCAAAACGCGGAAAAACCGCGTTTTTTTATTAAGGCCCTAAATTTATGGTAAAAATTAGTTTGCACCAAAATGAGAACTACATCTTGTATACTGCATTTGACACTGTTTTGTTTATTTAATTCTTCACTTTTTCACTCAATTGTTTGTGTTAGTTTTTTTACCTTATATTTTATGCTTTTTTGAAATTTTAAAGTTGTTTCCTACATTTCAAAGTGTTTAGAATTTAATGGTAACATTCAATTTCCATAAAAATCAATGGTTCATTCTGAATACTGTAATTGGTCTTAAAATTCAATTGATTTTTGAGAGCTTGATTTTCATTATTTTTTGACATTTTAAATTCATTGCCCACACTTTGAGACATGTTAAAAATGATGGTAAAAATAATTTTGCATCAACATAAAATCGGTATCTTGAATAATGCCTTTGACGTGTTTCCTTAATTAATTCTTACACACTTAATTATCCTTATTTTTTGTAATTTCAAGTTCATTTCCTACACTTTGAAAGGTTTAAAAATTGTTGGCTGTATCTATTTTTCATTCAAAGAAAATTGTATACGTTACAAATTGTGCAAGAAACGGGGTACACTCATATATTAAGATTGAAGCTTGTATTTTTAGGGAAATTGGACTTCACCATTCAATTTTACAAATTTTTAAATGGAGGAAATGAATTTAAAATTTCAAAAAATGATTAAAAACCAGCCGGTAACAAGCAATTAACAAAACATTGAAAAAAACATGTCCAACGCAGTATTCAATAACATTCTTTGGTTTTTATGCAAAATGATAGTTACCATCATTTTAATCATGTCTAAAAGTGTGGGAAACAAAGTTAAAATGTCAAAAAATAATGAAAATTAAGCTCTTAAAAATCAATTGAAAAATATGACTAATTACAGTATTCAGAATGAACCGTTGAGTTTTAAGAAAATTGGATGTTACCATTAAATTCTACACACTTTCAAATGTAGGAAGCAACTTTAAAACTTCAAAAAAGCATAAAAAATAAGGTACACACATGTATGCAAACAATTAAGTGAAAAAGTGATGAATTAATTAAAAAAAACAGTGTCAAATGCAGCATTCAAGGTATAGTTTTCAATTTGGGGAAAAATGGTTGTTAACATAATTTTTTACATGTCTTAAAGTGTAGGAAGAAAATTTGAAACATCAAAAAATAATGAAAATTAAGCTGTAAAAAATTAAGTCAAAAAATGGGGCTAATTTCAGTATTAAAAATGAACCGTAGAGTTTTAAAAAAATTGGATTGCACCATTAAATTCTACGCACATTGAAACCTAGGAAATAATTTTAAAATTTCAAAAAAGGCTAAAAAATAAGGTACAAACATGTTTGCAAACAATTAATTGAGAAATGAGTGATAAAAAATGGGCCTTAATAAAAAAACGCGGTTTTTCCGTGTTTTGACGCGGTTTTGATGCGCCGCAGCGCACGCGGTTTCCACGTTTAAACGCGGTTTTATTAATTATGCATATTTTATGCATAAATTCGCCTCCAGGGGGCGCGCGCGCGTACCACAAGTGCCTGCATGAACTTTGAAAATTTTCCTGCAGGCAAAACCACTCACCACAATCAAAAAAGGACATCACCCCCCCTCTAAACCTTCAACACACCACAACTCGGTCAAAACTCAACCAAAATCAACAAAAAAAATACCAGAATCATCCAATTTTTATCCTCTTCGACGCCACGGACTCGGATTTTTTCGATTCACCACCGGTTCACTCCCAACTTGCAGGTACACTCTAAACTTCAAAAAATCACAACTTGGCCATTTCTCAACCAAAATTCACAAAAAATACCAAAAGCACCCAATTTCATGCTCTTTACCGCACATCTCAATTTGCTGATAC